GCTCAGGACCACTGACTCAGAGACTTCCCGTGTAAGGTCTCATTTACAGTGATAAGTATGTCCAGTGCTAAGTCTGAGCTCCAATCCCCGTTTGTCAAACTCCCAAATCTATATGAGGCTTTTGTCTGTCCTAGGAATAAAGTCAAGACATTTTAGTGATCTGACCAGATCAGTACTAATTTTAATTTTCCTTGAAAAATGTATTAGTAATCTATTGCTGTGCAACAAATTACTCCAAAAATCAGCAGCTTAAATTACAAATAACTATTCTTAGTTTCTGAGGGTCAGCAATCTGGGAGTAGTCAACTAGATGGCAACGGCCCAAAGCCGCTCCGAGACTGCAGTCTAGCTGCTGGCTCAGGTGAGGCTTGACTGGAGCAGTATTCATTTACAAGCCCTTTCACTTGGGGTTGGGTGACCTGTTTCTTGCTGAATGTGGCTGGAGACTTCAGTTCTCCACCACGTGGGCTTTCTGAGTGTCATAATGACATGACAGCTGCCCTCTCCCAGAGCACGCAATACGAGAGTGCGCGAGAATGACCAAAGCTTCAGTGGCAGTGCTTTTATGACCTAATCTTAGAATCTTAGTCCCATCACTTCTGCCATGTGCTACTGGCCACACAGACCAACCTTGGTACATGTGGGAAGGGACTACACAAGGATGTGATTACCAGCAGCTGAGGATCCAACGTGGGGACGGCTCGGCAGCTGCCTCCCACAGTGGAAGTCTGCAAAGCACTGACTCATCCATCTTCCTCCTGCCTGCCTGGTAGCTATACTGCTGCATGTCTGCAAGAGCTTTCTTAATTGGGCCCTGTATTAGTCCGTTTCTGTTGCTTATATCATAATACACAGAACTGGGTGACTTGTAAAGAAAACGAAATTTATTGCTTACAGTTTCTGAGGCTAGGAAGTCCGAAGTCCAGGAAACACATCTGGTGAAGGCTTTCTTTGGTGGTGACTTCAGTCCTGGCAGCGTATCACATTGTGAAAATGGTGCAGCAGAGAAAGAGATAGACTCTCCTGTTTTTTTTTTTTTGTCTTTTTTGTCTTTTTCCGTGTCCAGCAATGGATCGCAACCCTCAGTGTTGCCCCCGTACCGGACCGGGGACCGGCAACGGGATTGCAACCCTCGGTGCTGCTCCCGTGCCTCGCTCAGCCAGTGAGCAGGAACCGGTCCGTATGTGGGATCCGAACCCTCGGGCGGGAGCGCCGCCGCGCTTCCCAAGCGGTGCACTATCCAGTGCGCCACCGGGCCGGCCCCTCTCCTGTTCTTTTTTTTTTTTTTTGTCTGTTTTGTCTTTTTCCGTGTCCAGCAACGGATCGCAACCCTCAGTGTTGCCCCCGTACCGGACCGGGGACCGGCAACGGGATTGCAACCCTCGGTGCTGCTCCCGTGCCTCGCTCAGCCAGTGAGCAGGAACCGGTCCGTATGTGGGATCCGAACCCTCGGGCGGGAGCGCCGCCGCGCTTCCCAAGCGGTGCACTATCCAGTGCGCCACCGGGCCGGCCCCTCTCCTGTTCTTTTTTTTTTTTTTTGTCTGTTTTGTCTTTTTCCGTGTCCAGCAACGGATCGCAACCCTCAGTGTTGCCCCCGTACCGGACCGGGGACCGGCAACGGGATTGCAACCCTCGGTGCTGCTCCCGTGCCTCGCTCAGCCAGTGAGCAGGAACCGGTCCGTATGTGGGATCCGAACCCTCGGGCGGGAGCGCCGCCGCGCTTCCCAAGCGGTGCACTATCCAGTGCGCCACCGGGCCGGCCCCTCTCCTGTTCTTTTTTTTTTTTTTTGTCTGTTTTGTCTTTTTCCGTGTCCAGCAACGGATCGCAACCCTCAGTGTTGCCATTTTCAATCCATTCACAACTGCAGGGTCCTACAATGTAATCACCTCTTCAAGCCTCCACCTTTCAATTACCATAATAGGACTTCCCACCCTTAACAGTCACAGTGGGGGCCAAGTTTCTAATACATGAAATTTGGGGAACACAATTCAAGGCTCAGTGAGTTTTGGGTGGACAGCCAGTCTACAGCAGGCCCCTACTCATTATCACAGAAGGCAAGATTACCTACACCAATGTGCTGTAGTTTGGGAACTTAATAAGTGTTGCTCAATTTTTATAAGTTTGTGGGACAGGCAATAATGTCCACACTTAGTAAATGAGGAACAGGAAAGGTGAATCGATACACGCTGGCACATATCCAGTAAGCCAGAACCAGGCATTCCCGAGGCTATCGCGCCTCGAAGCCCAGGTCTTTCCATCGTTCCCTGGCTCCTGGTCTCGCCCACCTTCCCAGATCAATCGCCCACTACCCCTCACTCATCTCTCTCTATATCCACACACCACTTCCCATCACACCACTGTATACAGGTCTTAAGATCTCTGCGTTCCTCGTGTTAGTGCCGCTAAACCCTCTTACCCCATCCCTATATGACACCAGTCTTGAAATTTAAGCCCAGCCTTCATGGCCTATCACATGTGTGCTTAGAATGAGTGTGTTTTCATGGTGAGTGTAGTCTTCAAAAGTTCATTAAATCAAGCTTGTTAATTGTGCTATTCAAATCTATATATTTACAATTTTTTTGTTTGATCTAATAAGTTACTGAGGTATATTAAAATCTCCTCCATAATTGGGCCGGCCCGGTGGCGCACTGCTACAGTGCGCCGCTTGGGAGTGCCGCGGTGCTCCCGCCGAGGGTTCGGATCCCACATACGGACCGGCCGCTCACTGGCTGAGCGAGGTGTGGGAGCAACACTGAGGGCTGCAATCCGTTGCCGGTCACGAAAAAAGACAAAAAAAGGAAAAAAAAAAATCTCCTCCATAATAATGTCAATTTTTCCTTGCAGATCTACATGTAATTAGATGCATACAAGTTTTATCTTCCAGGTAAAATTAATCTCTCACCATTATATAGGGGCCATATTTATCTCAGGAGAGGAAAAAAGAGGAAGAAAGAGATAAAGAGGGAGGAAAATAAAAAGGTGACAGGGAGCCAACCACAGGCAGGTTTATGTGTCAGCCCTCCCCTTTCCTTACCAAAGAGATTAGCCTTGTCTGGTCAGAAGCCTGGAAGACCGTTACACTCTCTCTGGATACTTAGTTCCTCCCACCCATGCCCGCGCAAAGGCAGGCAAGTCACTGTGCTGCCTCTTTCTGAGGGACAGTTTGTTCTCCACTCGCCCTTCCATGGGCGTGCAGCCCCCTGGGGTCCCAGCTTTGCCAAAGGCTTCCTATCAGAAACCCCGCCTGGGGCAGGCATGGGACTTAGCTTTTTTGCCCCTTGCTCAGCACAAAGCAGGAGTTCAAGGTTTCCAGGGTTCCTGGATTCTCTTCATTTGGGATTCTGGAAAAGTGTGTGTGTGTGTGTGTGTGTGTGTGTGTGTGTGTGTGTGTGTGTGTGTGTGTGTGTGTGTGTGTGTGTGTGTGTGAGAGGGAGAGAGAGAGAGAGAGAGAGATATTCAACAACACGGTAACAAAACATTTTCTAAAATTTCATCTATATTTTAACTGAATCTGTTGAAAGGATGATTCAGACCTTCTCCATGTTACTCTTGTGGTTCAGCTCAAATATCACTGCTTCTGTTAAACACTGTTCAGTTACCCTACCCCCACCCCACACCCAGTGTACATTAATAGCATCTCCCTCCGTTTCACACTGAACTGTTTCTACCTCAGTGACAGCAACTGCTGCACCTGCCTTACTTTTCGGACAGTCATATTTGCACTTTTCCCTCCCCAGTGAAAAAGCAACTTAATAACCAGATCCTATGTCAGTTTTCTTTGGGTTCCCAAGCCCACTCCACTCGCGCCCCAGCCCCACCTCTGGAGAGGGCAGCCAAACGCCCGTCTACGGATGGTGTTCCCTAATTGTTCGTTGGTTTAAAATTTTTCTTTTAAAACTTATGCCTAGAAATCCCAACCACAGAACTGTCCGATCCTGTGGCACAGGGCTGAACGGCTAGAGTGCTGCTCAAGAGAGCAGGTGGTGTAGAAGAGCCTCGGATGGGGCTGCAGTGTGCTGATGCCTCAAGAAAACAAGAGGTTTTCCTAAAAGACCTTGGAATAGGCCTCCCTCTTCCAGGGCATTTTAGGTGCTGAAAGTGCTTGTAAATTCGAATGAAACCTCTTAAAATCACCTGTTCATTGACTGAATTTGACTATCATTAAGTAGATTGTGATTGAATCATTTCCAACAGTTTTAAAGTTCACATAATGTAGTATTTAAAACTTTAATATTACTCTTAAGACCAACATGAAAAAGAAATTCAAGTATTTTCCTCTTACATGAGATATTTTGCTCAGTCTTGGGATACTAATAATAGGAGAATGACTTCCAGGTCATTACCATGAGGAAACGCACAAGTGGGTGAAGCACTTGTCAGGTTTTTGACAGTAGGTCAAAACGCACCTTGAAAGAGACAGTGACTAAAACCTACAGAGTGTGTGCAGATCTCTGCTGGGGCATCCAGTTCTCTGCAGCCACAGACACCTGTCACCAGGGAGCAGTGTGAATGCCAGGCACACACTGGAAAATCACCACATTACAGTCAGTTCATAACTGAAAAGATATTTTCACAGTGACAACAAAGGAAGGATAAAAACACTGGCAACCAAAAGAAAACAAAACAAATAACAAAAAAACCCACGAGCACCCAGAAGAGTTAACTCGAGCTGACTGCCCTTCAAAGGTCTCACCAAGGGCAGCTTGATTCTGACTCGCAAGGCAGTCAGCCTCAGCCTGCCCCACAACGGGATTCCAGGCCAAGACGTCAAGGAAGCAGTCTGCCTGCTGCCTGCAGTCAGCCAAGACTCTGAGCAGACTCAGGCTGCTGTCCTGTCACCTTGCCTGCATTCTCATCTCGGTGTCAAGAAGAAAAGCCCTGGCCTGGCCCCTGAATAACACAGCAGGTGTCATGAGCACAGGCTCGCATTATCTGAGAACTCTGGTCTTTGAAAGAAAAGAGAATGTGACAAGGAAACTACACAGCAGCAGGACTAGCTTCAGCAGCCTTTCTGGGTGACGTCTAGTCCCGATGACTTTGTGATTTCCAAAGTTGTGAATACCTGTTCAGAAGGAAGAAAACAAAACAAACACATATTTAGATGTTAGTACTGCTTTAAGAAAACACATTGAGTATCACATTGACACTATTCTTAAAAATACACAGAACAGTTACTAGTACAAAATCCTTCTGACAATGTGCTTTGTAACAGTTTTTCAAACTACAGAAATTGAAGCCAATTTTAAAAACCCTCCTGTTCCCTACCTCCCCGCATGTGGGGTGAATTCCAACGGTGTCATCGAGTAGCTGTTTTGTGAGCCCACATTTCATTGCCACTGCAAATCCTTGGGTAACCTCACCAGCATTTGGTCCAAGAATATGAAATCCTACCACCCGTTCCTTTAATACAGAAGCAAAACAAAGAGAATCCCAGCAGTTTAATGGTCTAAACAGGAATCTATTCACTGCAAGTTCACAGTTAAATTTATAGCACCTACTACAGAAAAAGAACACCAATGTTGAACTGAGCACATTACCATGAAACTGAGCCCCTGTAAGAATCTGCTAAATGAGGCAGTAAATGCACATCCAGAGTTAATTTGCACTCAAATTTATTAGAACGAGCAATTTACCCAGTGCATGAAGGAGTTCACTAGTGTGATGTAGATTATGCTGAGATAGCACTGAGCAACACGACAAATCTGAACTGAAGTCCAGCAGTGGAATGGTTCTAAGGCATCAGGTCTTACTGAAAATGCAGAGACTGCCAGTCCAGGAAGCAAGGTGCCCTGCTCCTAACATAAGCAGAGACCGAGGAGTGGACAGTGTGGAACTGTTACCCGGGGCCATCTGCCAGGAGGACCAAGGAGCACGGTGCAGTGATGAGCAGACCCACGAGGCAGGGGGCAACACTCGCAGTCAGTTTCCTAGTAACAGTGCGCTGTAGGCGGTCCATTGGTCAGTGTTCTTCCATCAGACTCTATCCTTCATTTCCATCTTCAATAGTGAAAGTGTAAAGCAGATGAAGAGAAAGACGTAAGAGAGCACTAGAGGCCAGGGCTGGCAGGAATCCGCGGCTACTCAGGCTCTGGAGAAAGAGCCATGTTCCAGAGCAGCCAGCCCTACACACATCTGCCGGTGGGCCCTCAAGCAGAGAGCTCCAAGAGCAGGTCTCATGGGGCAGGCACGCAGAGGCCCCTGGGCTGTGGGTTAAAAGTGGGGTCCCACGTCTTCTCTATCCATTCATCTGTGGACGGACACTTAGGTTGCTTCCATACGGAGCTGCTGCAAATAGTGCTGAAATGGACATGGAGTGCAGGTGTCTCTTCAACACGCTAATTTCAGTTCTTTCAGATCTATGCCCAGGAGTGGAATTGCTGGATCATACGGTAGTTCTATTTTTAGTTTTTTGAGGAACCTACATACTATTTTCCAAAATGACTACTAATTTACAAACAGATGAAAAAAATGTGGTATATACACACAATGGAATACTACACAGCCTCAAAAAGAAGGAAATTCTGTCACTTGTGACAACATGAGTGGGACTGGAGGACATTACGCCAAGTGAGATAAGCCAAGCACAGAAAGACTGTGGAATGAGTTTTAGTGATCCTCTGCACCGCATGGTGACCACAGTTAACATTAATAATGTTTTATGTATTTCAAAGTTGCTAACGTAGATGTCTAATGTCCTTACCACTAGAAAACGATGAATTGGGGAGGTGATGGATATGTTAATCAGCTTGACTAAATCTTTCTATAATGTATATATAGATCACAACACTACAGAGGATCCTATAAATATACACAATTATTACTTGTCTGTTAAAAAGTTCTAAAAATGTACTGCTAAAAAAGAAGTGTGGTTCCCAGGCCCCACAGAAGGCTACTGAATTAGCATCTGAGGTGGCGCCTTGTGGAGCACGCTGGAAAGGGGTCAGCCCAGAGGTGAGTAAGGACACCTGGTGAAAATCTCCACTGGTGACTGACAGTGGGGCCGGTGCTGCGCGAGAGCAGCCTTGGGCACAATTCCCACCAGGGTGGTACTTGAGAAATACACACATGCTGGGTGAAAGGAAGGGCGAGCTCTGGTGGCAGAGGGGCAAGCGTGTGACCTGGGGGCCTGGCAGGAGTGACGGAGGCAGGATGGGTGGCAGGGACAAAGCAAGTGTTGAAAGATGCCAGACAGGCCCCGAGTCCCACCCCAGGGCTGCTGGATGCAGCTGGCACCTGTGTGAGGACAGCAGCCGTGTGCACAGTCTCTCACTCCTTCTGGAAAGGCTGTTCACCTCAGAGGACTTACTCCCACAAACAAGACCATGGTCACACACAGGCACACCAACCCTCAGGTGCGCAGCTGTGAACCTGTCCCCACTTGGCAGCATTCCAGGGCCGCTCTGACCAATATCCCCATCACTGCCCTGCAGACAAGTGCCACCACCAAGGAACTAAGTCCAGGGCTCTGAGCAGCTTCACCATTCAGGAGCAGGAAACCTGCAAATAGGCAGCCTGTGACACCGTTTTCTGTTTTTACCAAAAATAAGATGACAACAGACATGCGAGAAGTAAACAAGGTGAAGACTGTGTGACTGCCTAAACTCTATGTAAACAGCACCTGCTGCTGTTCACATTTTCCTATTTTTATAGTCTACTCCCCAGATAGATCATAAACCCTTAAAAAGAGAAGAAGTAAGTCTTAACACTGCTTTCCTCACTCACTATTTCTTATAAAGCAATTCGTAAATGACCATGTGGGAGGCTGTCAGCACCGTGGTGGGAAGGGCAGGGCCTCTGCTGAAGGGCTGGCCACCCCACTGCCGCTCCTTTAATGAAGAGCATCAGCAGGACTCAGATCAGTACTGGAGTTTCACTGTGTGTGAGCACCTCCTTCCAAAGTCTTTGGACACTTGCAAAATGCACACAAACATACAACTTACAATTTATTAGTTGATGACCAAAATTTTCACTCATCATGCAGTTCTAAACTACAGTTATCCCTCAGTACCAGCAAGGGTTGCTCCCAAGACCCCACTCAGATACCAAAATCTGCAGATGCACAAGTCCCTGATATAAAATGGCATGGTGTTTGCATATACCCTACACACATCCTCCCGCACAGTTTAAATCCCTCCAGATTACTTACAACACCTTATACAATGTAAATGCTATGTGTAGTTTGTTATACTGTATCGTTTTTAAATTTACATTATTTTTATTGTGTTTTTTCCCTAATATTTTCGATCTGCAGTTGGTTGAATCCATGGATGTGGAACCCATGTATACAGAGGGCCAAGTGTATCAAGTTAGACAGCTCTCGGGAGAGACAACTTCCAGGGATGCATTTTGAGAGGTATTGGTAAACCTCAGTTACAACCTGTCACTGTTCAATCTCTGCAAACACACTCGCTAGGTAACAGAAGGGGCTCTGTCCTGCTCTGAAAGCTATCTTCAAAGAGATTACAAAAATCCAAATGCTAGGAGTAAAAGCTACATTTTAAAACTGCAGCATTTCAGCTTCCAGTCATATTACATACATTGTCGAAGCTATCTTCAAAGAGATTACAAAAATCCAAATGCTAGGAGTAAAAGCTACATTTTAAAACCGCAGCATTTCAGCTTCCAGTCATATTACATACATTGTCGAATTTATTGCAGATTATCTTTGCATAACAAGCATGGTTGTCTCTGCCAGCTACTGTCCATTCAAGAGGCCAGAAAAACGTATGATATACCTGGAAGACAAAAGATAGAGAAAGGCCAAGATTAATGCATACGAAAAACATTCCTCTTTAATTCTATAAAGACAATAATCTCTGTAGCACCTTAAAAATGTGAACTTCGACGATCCCAACTTTACATATCTGATGAGAGTATCTGGGCCAGAGCTCCTGAAACATCCTCTGCACAAGTGTGTCGACCTTTGTTTTGCTCAATTGTTAGTCAAAAAAAAATCTATTAAAAAATTTTATTTTCATTTACAGAGCACTGCACACCAAGGCAATGAATGCACTAGGCCTTTGTGTGCACTGCAAAGATAAGGACTGAGACCCGCCTCCAACAAACTGACCACCTGCCTATAATGTTCACATTCAAACACAATCCAGCAAGAGTAAAAGAGACAGTTCCAGCAATCAAAGAACATCATCTATGCGACCTGGAAGCAGGGATCATGTCCTTCACACCAGCCCTGGGTACGCCTCTAAGCCCTTTCAACCTGGCTCGGTATTCTAAGAACCAAAGCAAAGCACGAAGTGTCCCTCCATCCTGCTAGGACAGCTCCATCTTCCAGTGTTATTCATCCAGATCACTCCACAAAGAAGGTGACGAATCAAGTTTGGTGTCAAAGAAATGTATTCTAAACTATATCTCACAATGTATGAATTTAAATTTTTTTAAAAATCCCATGCTGAAATAACCATATTAAATAATCTCAGAATTAAATGTTAGGGAGCCATCAATTGTTTGCACACATGCAGTTTAAACAACAGTTTTATTAAAAGGTGTAATAGTACACAGTTCTGTGTAATAAAAAAAATAGATCTAACTTGTATTTAACAGAAGAGAAACTCTTCTATCTATTTTAATACAAACTTTTCAATTTCTGTGGCTATTAGGAAGAGAAGATAAACATTTCTCTACTCTGAGACATTATTTCCCAAGTATACGCCTCTAAGGTTAAGAGAAGAGATGATGCAAACTCCCTGAGGTTTTAAACACAGCCGCAAGCTTCAGTTTTGACATGTTCTATTACCCCCTGCTGTAAAGAGTAAGGAAGCGAGTGCTCAAACTTCCTTCCATCTCTAGTATACGCCTCTAAGGTTAAGAGAAGAGATGATGCAAACTCCCTGAGGTTTTAAACACAGCAGCAAGCTTCAGTTTTGACATGTTCTATTACCCCCTGCTGTAAAGAGTAAGGAAGCGAGTGCTCAAACTTCCTTCCATCTCTGCTTTATTTTTTCCCTGTCTTTTGTTAAATGTGTTTTTTCCTTCTACTATTTTGAAGATTTTACTTAAGTCTTTGGCCCTCCTGGTTCAAAGTGGATGTGAAGTGTGGATCCACCTTTATTTTTTTTCCTGAACAGCTGCCCACCTATTCCATTGCCCTTTAGTGAATAATGTGACTTCTGCCACTGATGTAAAACACCACGTGTGTTGCATATTGATTCTTATAAGCATTCTGGACTTCCTGTTCTGTCCATGTGCAGGCCATGACTGTCCAACTATCTTTACTGTGGCTAGACGATAAATGTTAAAATGTAATTAAGGCTGGTCTCCCCTCATTACTGTCCTGTTATTGCTTGTGCTTTTCAAAAGTTTTTATCAAATTATGCACAATGATTACAGATGTAATTTTCAAAGCTCTTTTATGAAAAAGAGTGATCTCTGCCCCCACCCATTTCAGTATACATGGAGGCCACCACCATCACCTCTTTTAATTATTTTGGTATTTATCTCCATGTTTCTAAATAACATGCTTATGGTGCTACTTGACTTTTCTATTTTAGGCTTGGTTTACTGACTTGCCTCTATGGAAGAGGAGAATTCAGCTCTTTCTCCCCTGGCCCCCACCACACCCTTGGCTCCCTTCCTGCCCTACTTCCATCCTTCTCATATACTCACAATCTTAGCTAGATGATTTCCAGTGTTTCCTTTACCAAGTAAAAGGTACCCACAGACAACTGGAGAGCCACACACAGAGAATCAAGCTGCACCTTCACCTCACACCACACGCAAACATTAATTCAAAATGCGTTATAGATCTAAATGCAGAATCAAGACTATTTTTAAAAAATACTCTTGGAAACACAGGCATACATCTCCATGACTTTGAATTAGGCAATGGTTTCTTAGATGTGACATCAAAAGCACAGATGACAGAAGAAAAAAAAAGACAAACTGGGCATCATCAAAATTAAAGACTTGTGCTTTAAGGGACATCACCAAGAATATGAGAAGACAACTCCCAGAATGGGACAAAATTTGTAAACCATCTGATAAGGTACTTGTATGAAGAATACATAAAGGAACTCTTACAACTCAATAACGAAAAGGCAAATAACCCAATTTTAAAAAGGACAAAGGATCTAAATTGACATTTCTCCAAAGATGATCTACAAATGGCCGATAAACACATGAAAAAATGCTAAAAATCACTAGTCATTAGAGAAATGAAAATCACAACCATAATGAAATATCACTGGGATAATGTATTACCACACAAAAATTACCAAAAACTTGGTGGCTTAAAACAAAAGAAATTCTCACAGTTCTCGAAGCCAGAAATATAAAATCAACGTATCAGCAGGGCTACACTCCCTCCAAAGGCTCTGAGCGTCTTCCAGCTTCTGGGAGCTCCAAGGGTAAGTGCCAAAAGCCAGGGAACCTATATGACCCAGCAATTTCACTGTTAGGTATATACCCAAGAGAAATCATATTATGTCCACAAGAACTTGTACATGAATGCTCACAGGAGCATTATTCATGATAGCCAAAAATGGAAACAATTAAAATGTCTACCAATGTATCAAAGGATAAATAAAATGTGGTATATCCATATAATGAAGTACTATTCAGCAATAAAAATAATTAAATACCAACACATGCTACAATATGGATGAACCTTGAAGACATCATGCTAAGGGAAAGAGGTCACTCACATAAGACCATGTATTGAATGATTCCATTTGTAGGAAATGTCCCTAACAGGCAAATCTATAGAAACTTAAAGTAGACTAGTGGTTGCTTGGAGCCAAGGGTGGGATGTGAATAGGGAATGACCACTAATGGATACAGGGTTTCTTTTCTTTTCTTTTTTAAACAGGGTTTCTTTTGAGGTGATCAAAATGTTCTAAATTTAATTATAGTGATGGTTGCACAAGAGAATATACTAAGAATATACTAAAATCCATAGAATTGTACACTTAGTGAATTATATGATATGTAATTACATATCAATAGAACTATTACTTTAAAAAATAAAGTTTTGCACAGCTGAGTCACATAATAAACTATGATTATTTTACTCTCATGCACAATTTTTTATTTTCTATGAGATTAAGAATATATTGTTTTGTCACAGACTTAATTTTCTATGTAATAACCCTAATTTATCCTAAATTTTAGCAATATTAAATCTTCCAATCCATGAACATGAGATGCCTTTCCAATTATTTAGGTCTTATTTAATTTCTTTGAGCAATGCTTTATGGTTTTCAGTGTACAATTTTATCACCTCCTTGGTTAAATTTATTCCTAAGTACTTTATTCTTTTTCATGCTATTGTAAATGGAATTGCTTTTTTTGTTTGTTTTTGTTTTTGGATAGTTTATTGCAAGTGTAATAAAATATAACTGATTTTTGTGTGTTGACTTTATATCCTGCAATGTTGATGAATTCATTTATTAGCTCAGTTATGGGCTCAACTGCCCCCCTCTCTATCCACCCCCCATATCCATTTGTTAAAGTCCTAACAGAGTCTTTAAAGAGGCAAATCCTTCTCTATCAGTAATCATATTAAATGTAAATGGCTTACGCTCTCCTATTAAAAGGCAGAGTTTAGCAGATTTGATTAAAAATATCAAGATTCATCTATATGTTGTTTAAGGGGACTCATTTTAGATATAAGGACACAAAAAGGTTGAAAGTAAAAGGACAGAAAAGTTATTTTCTCAGTGGTTACCTTGGGGATTACAAGTAACATCTTAAATTTGTAGTAAACTATAACCTTAGTTTCAATGGTACACAAACACTCTTCTATCCATCTTTATCCCTCCCCCTTCATATTCTCACTGTCACAGATTACATCTATAGACAACATATGCTCATTAACATAGACTTACACTATAACCTTAGTTTCAATGGTACACAAACACTCTTCTATCCATCTTTATCCCTCCCCCTTGATATTCTCACTGTCACAGATTACATCTATAGACAACATATGCTCATTAACATAGACTTACGATTATAGTTTTAATTCACATTCCCTTTTAAATCATATAGGGAAAAGAGAGAAGTTACAAAGCAAACCAAAAGTACAATATAACTGGCTTTTACATTTACCCATGAAATTACCTTTAATGGTGTTAATTTTTCTTACAGCTTCCAGTTACCATCTAATGTACTTTCATTTCAGCCTGAATGATAAACTCCCTCAGCTTTTCTGTGCAAATGTCTTAATTTTTCCTTCATTTAAAAAAACATTTTAGGGCCAAGCCCATGGCGCACCCGGGAGAGTGCGGCGCTGGGAGTGCAGCAGCGCTCCCGCCGCGGGTTCGGATCCTATATACGGATGACCAGTGCGCTCACAGCACTCACTGGCTGAGCGCAGTGCAGCCGGTCTCAAAAAGGACAAAACAAACAAACAAACAAACAAACAAACAAAACCACTTTAATTAATTAATTATTATTATTTGGGGGGG